GTCGGAACGAACTTACGGAAAATTAACTAACGAACAGAGACGTAACATATCAATCTCAGAGATAATCTTGTAAACTAAGTTTAATGAACTCATCTTGAAAGAAAATAAGGTGTTTAGGAATGGCGCTAATTGATTTTTTGACATAATTTAGAAGGCTTAAGCTCAGTATCAGTTAATTCTAGATAAAGAAGATTTTAGGTTTTCAGGCAAAAACGTCTCCAGATGGATCAACGGTTAGTTTACAGATTTACAACAAAAATCCGGGGTCCGATTCCTCGCGGTGGACAGAGCGTGACTAGTCCATTACTTAGGGTTACCAGACACCAGAGTACTGAGGACAACGAAGGTGCAAAAAAGGGGGCAGATATAAAATTCGAAATTAAAAAGTAGGTGTACAGATATATTCGGTATATACTCACACATACACATGTTTTTGTGTGGAAAATAGACAAATTTTTGCTAACGAAAACTCTCGCATAGAAATGGCGGCAGCGAGTTGTCCTAGACCCCGTTTGTGTGTGTAAAACTTGATTCTTAATTCCTAAAAAAAATGCCGGACAATATCAATATACTTAAAATGCCTGTCAAAAAACAAACAAACAACTGTTAAGACTAAGTTACGACACGTTAGGCATCAGGCTAATGGTGTAATATAAAGTGTTATGTGTTCTTACTTTAATGGTTGTTTGTAAATATCTCGCCTGCACTCGTACATCTCAACCTGGAAAACTTTGATTATACATGAATATACATAACTTACATATAAATATATGTTATACTCGAATAAGAAGCTTATACAAAAGTTATAGTTACATTCGTGTACCCCAAAAATTCCCTTTTCAGTGAAGGAAAATTGTTAGTTGACAATTGCGCAACAGACGAATTCTAGTGATATGATTAGAACGGCAGTGTAACACAGTAACAACATGGCTCCGTATCCTGAAGAAGTTGATGTATTTTCCGTCCCCCATACTCGTATGAAGCAGTTGGTAGATGGTTATTCGGAGAAGGTTAGTTTTTGGGGGAAAAAACATTCATCAGATTTGTTTATTCTTGTGTAATAACAATAGTCACCCTTGTTCTCAATCATTATTTTTAAACTAAAGCAACAAGCTTACATTTTTCACATACTGATATACTTAGCCTAAACTACTACTATTTCTCTCTCTCTATTAATATTATTACCTGTAATTATTATCGTAGAATTTTAGAAGCTCTTGTACTCTAGTAGAAGTTAGTAGTAATACACAATACTCATTAATAGTATTGCTAATATTAGTATAGCTAGCATGTAGCGGCTAGGCCCACTAATTAGTACTATTAGTAATACTAGTATTACTATTAGCATTAGCCCTATGCCAATGCCTCAAATGCGTACGTATAACAAACGCTAATACGAATAGTTAGTAACCTACACGGTAACTAACGTTAGTACTCAATACTAATAGCCCAAAATTCAAACCTTCAGAAGCTAATGTAAGAGCTAATTTCATAATGCTTTCATTTTCCCAATCATATCAAATGAAACAAATTGATAGAAGTATAGGCCTAGACATTGTATTGATTTATATTCTATTTAAATATAATTTGTTGATGCTGTGTCACTAGTTTTTGCAGTGAGTTGTCTAACAGTTTTCCAAATGATTTATTATACTTAAAAAACTAAAGCATGTTGTTAATTACACACCCAAATTACTTTAAACTTAAAGATGACATTTCCTTACAACAGTAAGCCAAGATTTAAAGGTTAAAGGTGACATTTCATTACGAAACTTAGCCAAGATTTATAGGTTAAAGGTGATAAGTATTTGATAAAATATTCTCATCAAGTGTGAAGTATTACATGTAAGAAGTCTGTTAATTAATCAAATTATAAATACATGTCTTTTGTAGCAGCCAAATTCATAACATAATAAAGCTATATAAAAATTAACATTAACCATTACATTTATGTACAAACTCATTTTCTGCCCATATGTAGAAACCTGTTCAACTCATTTAAAAGTCGGGTTTACAAATAATTGTCATTTTCATGCATACTGCAATATACTTGTTGATTTATAAGAAATTTAAAAATCACTTATTTTCATTAGAAACAAGTATTATACCAAGAATTTATAAAATTAAATGGCAGTATTATATGTTGTTTAGAAATTTGCTTTTTTTTTTTATAATCACCTTGGAAAAACTAGCTTGTCTTATTTTATTTAGTTGAAAAAGTGCTTAACAGTATCCTTTAAAAAATGTTAATGTTTGGTATTCAGTGAGTGTCTATTTTTCAATTATTGCATTGGTCTACTCACAACTTGTTCATGTAAACAGTATTTATTTTAACCATGTTATGAAGTACTTTGAAACTAGTCAGTTAATTAACTGCACAAAATTACCATAAGTTGATTTTACTTAATTATATGGTTAAAAATTTTTTTAATCTTAATATCAACATTCATTTTACTACCCAGTCCTTTAGTGGTCTGTTCTTGTACAAACATATAAACAGGTAACTAACTGTGCTTTCTGTTGTCAAGACAAGTTTGTAGTTTTTACTAAATATCAAATTTTGATCTGTAAAACATTTTTGTGTGTTTTGAAGTCATGCTGTTTTTCTGAATCATCATTATAAGCTTGATGACAAGTCAGACACGTATTACCAATCTTATGACAAGTCAGACACGTATTACTAATCTTATGATTTATTTTTATTCAAACGAAGTTTTAGCTTCTTCATGATGTATTTGTTTTCAATTTGTTCATGACATTTAAATTCTGAAAATGTCTGATGAAGAATGTCTAGAAGTGATTTCAGTGCCACATAATCAGAAAAATCTGTGCATAAAATCTATAAAAGAAAATTCATTATAAATCCTGACAAGTCAGACACGTATTACCAATCTTATTCAACCTACAAACAAAAAGTTAGGTAACAATACTGTTTTATCTCTCACCACTGTACACATTGGATATATCACACAGTTCCTACAGAAGGAACATAAGGGTGAGAGATAAAACAGTGTCGTTACCTAACTTTTTGTTTGTAGGTTGAACTTATGTTCCTTCTATGTGATATACCCAATGTATACAGTATAAATGGTATATTAATTGTATAGTATCTGTGCTGGTACAATTAATACACCATTATCCTAATGTGTACTATATCAGCCCAGATACGATACAATTAATACACCATTATCCTAATGTGTACTATACAAGCACAGATACGATACAATTAATACACCATTATCCTAATGTGTACTATATCAGCACAGATACGATACAATTAATACACCATTATCCTAATGTGTACTATATCAGCACAGATATGATACAATTAATACACCATCATCCTAATGTGTACTATATCAGCACAGATACGATACAATTAATACACCATTATCCTAATGTGTACTATACCAGCACAGATACGATACAATTAATACACCATCATCCTAATGTGTACTATACCAGCACAGATATGATACAATTAATACACCATCATCCTAATGTGTACTATATCAGCACAGATATGATACAATTAATACACCATCATCCTAATGTGTACTATATCAGCCCAGATACGATACAATTAATACACCATTATCCTAATGTGTACTATACCAGCACAGATATAATACAATTAATACACCATTTGATATTACTGTATCTGTAATGTTTCTTGTAATACTCTGTAGGTTTATAACTTGGTGGGCAAAGCACAGATAGCCTATTATGTTGCTTTGCACTTAACTATTAAGTACACTCTGGACCTTTTCACATGCTGTATTAAGTACACTCTGGACCTTTTCACATGTTGTATTAAGTACACACTGGACCTTTCACGTGTTGTATTAAATACACTCTGGACCTTTTCACGTGTTGTATTTCCAGAGTTTACTTAATGCAACATGTGAAAAGGTCCAGAGTGTACTTAAAAACAACACGTGAAAAGGTCCGGAGTGTACTTAATACAACATGTGAAAAGGTCCGGAGTTTACTTAATACAACATGTGAAAAGGTTCTGAGTGTACTTAATACAACACGTGAAAAGGTCAAGAGTGTAAATGCAACATGTGAAAATGTCTGGAGTTTACTTAATACAACATGTGAAAAGGTCCAGAGTGTACTTAAAAACAACATGTGAAAAGGTCCAGAGTGTACTTAATACAACACGTGAAAAGGTTCAGAGTGTACTTAATACAACACATGAAAAGGTTCAGAGTGTACTTAATACAACACGTGAAAAGGTTCAGAGTGTATTTCCTTTTCACACTACTGTTTAATCACTTCATTGTAAACCAAAATAAACTGTTAGAACAATGTATATTACACTTCTATATGTCCATTAGGGCTGGGCGATTAGTGGAATTTGCTAATCGGTTAATTGTCAGTCTTGTTAATTGATTACATTCAGCTAATCAATTATTCTCATGAGATGACTAATACCTATTATGGACAGAGCACAGATAGCCCATTGTATAACTTTGTGCTTAGAAACAACCAACTATAACTGCAGTATTTTGGTTAGTTGGAATAACATAATAACTAAAACCATAATTTCAGTTGATAATTTTCATGAGTCATGACACTAGTTAGTTAAACTGAAGAAATTTGAATGAATTGTAAGTGATAATTATAATAGCAGTATTTCAATTACTAAATAGTTGGAACAATCAGAAACACTAATTTGGTAGTTGATTCTTTTTGTGACATTAGATAATTAAATTGTAATTTCAATTATTGGATAGTTGGGATAATTGGAAACATTAACTGATTGTTTTACATAACACTAACTGATGCTTACAGGTTAAGTAATTAAATTAGTTACCAATCTCTAATGATTGTGTGTGAAATGGACCTTTTATTTTGCCCAGAAAGCAATGGATTTATTTTTATGGAATCTTGCAGATCGTAGAAAAACAGTTATTTTGAAGGAGTGATCCACTCGTTAAGAACTCTAAATGTAACTTGGTTTTCCAGGGAATTTACTATGAATCATATAAAAGATGATAATTTTCTCTTTAAAGGATCTGGCAATTCAAGACGTAGCTGTGTGTAACTGTCACTCTGACAATCGACTTTCAGAAATGCTGGCTTTTGTGAAAAATGGTTTTTCTTGGACTAAAAAGTCGGAATCTGAGAGACAGAACTTTGGACTGCAGCTGCAACATGCATTAGAAGATTTTAATGAAATTTTTATTCCTCACATGCAGGAAGAAGAAGAGGTTAGATTCAATTTGAAACTTATTTTAAAATAACATCATCAAAAGAGGAAATGTAAAAACCATTTATTGTGTATTAAAAACCTTCTATAGGTAAATTAATTTTGGTAAAACTGAAAAACTCTAATAAGTATCTTTTTGTTTCTCTAAGCTTATCTTATGAATCACTACAACATAAGTATTTTGATTCTCATTACGTAGGTTTTTCAGCCAATGTTGGTAAAATACTTTGAATATGAAGAACTAAAATCTTTGAAAGCCACAGTGATTGAAGAACATTACAAGTGGCAGGCGTTGAACTCTGAGAAAGAACAGAAATATTCGAAAGAAGAGGAAATATGTGAAAGTAGTAAGTATATGTTTTTATAGTATGACAAGTGACTCTAGAGACAATTTGTGTTGGGCTCATTAATCAAGTACATTCAATCAATAGATTATTTAGGACAAGTGACTCTAGAGACAAATAACTTGTGTTGGGCTCATTAATCAAGTACATTCAATCAATAGATTATTTAGGACAAGTGACTCTAGAGACAAATAATTTGTGTTGGGCTCATTAATCAAGTACATTCAATCAATAGATTATTTAGGACAAGTGACTAGAGACAAATAATTTGTGTTGGGCTCATTAATCAGGT